CACGCAGTGTCGCTTCAGGAGAGGAAGGCGCTGCTGCGGTTTCAAGGGTGTTTTTGTGACCCACAGCAACATGTTGTAGAGAACAGAGTAGTAGCTTACTGTCACCTTCCCCTGATAGGAAAAGGGCACCCCCAAATACTTAAAGGTATCCATTGAGCGCAAGACACTCCCCCCGATAGACACTTCACATAGGCGGAGGCAGGCACTTTTCTCTTTACTTGGTGGAGTTGAGGACCATACCGGCGTGGGAGAGGCCATTAGCCAGACCATCCAGTCTCTGCTGGAGTCGTTGAGACGATTCGGCAAATAAGACGAGGTCATCCGCATAAGCGATGCAGTCAACTGTGACTCTATTAGGCTCAAAGCCAGGCTGTCGATCAGAATAGGAAATAGCTTCAGAGAGAACGCAAGTAAAGAGGAGAGGGGAGAGGTGATCGTCCTGACGTACAGCGTCTCTCGAGAGGCGTCGAGCCAGAAGTCCCATTACCAAATTATGACGCCATACTCGGGCTCAATGGCAGCACTGGAGGATATGGAACAAGGTTTCCCGCCGACCGCATAGACCTCGACACATAACATCCTCTGGCCCTGTCCTGTGAGACCTGCGAGCTTTTGTTGAGAGGACACCTGCACGTAACTGGATGCCTCTCAAAAACAACCAAGGAAAGACTCGATCAAGGGCAGAAACCCAATGATTAGCACAAACTGAGTCAGAGAACTGCGCAAGGGTTTGCCATCAACGGAATCGTACATACACTTTCGCCAATAGTTCCACACCTCTGCCTTTCTAGTCAGTACTGGTTGAGCAGCCATCCGCAGACCCGGCAGAGCCGAAGGCACCATGGCAGCCGTCAGTAATACTGGATCCCTGGAAGAGGGCACTGAGTCCAGACGATGGCGCTTGGCAAACGGCACCAACACCGACAGGCAAGGCACCCCGAGACCCCCATCCCGAACTGCCTTATGGAGGAAGGAGACGAGTGTATCGGTGGGCAGTTTTAGCCATCCCCTCACTGCTTGTCGCAGTTGCTTATCTAGCCTCCTCAGCGTAGCACGGCGCACAGCCTCAAGTACCAACTCATGCAGCAACTTTGGGACACAATACCGCTTCAAGAGAGTTAGACGCGGCTGTCGCTTCAAGGGAGGCTTCGTAATTCCAAATA